TGGGTTGTTCTCAGCATCTTGGGAAATGAGCCCATCTAGGTTTTTGTAGTTGGACCCAATTCACAACCAAGTTACCTCAGGATATTCACAGAAAGTTTAGGCTGGCTCTGCACTTAGAAAAGTCCAGAGAACAAGGCTGTTTACCCATGATGCTCTCATTTTAAGGATGAAAGAGATAAGTTTTTGAGGTTCTTAAAAATATTTTATTTGCCAGGCATGGTGGCGCATTGCCTTTAGTCCCAGCACTCGGGAGGCATGTGTATGAGTGTACTGCTTAAGTGTATGTCAATGCATGAGTGTCTGGCAGCACACAGAGATCAGAAGAGGACATCGGATTCTCCTGGAACTGGTTGTTAGCCTCCATGTGGGTGCTGGGAATCGAACCCAGGATCTCTGCAAAACAACCAGTGTTTGGTTGTTTGGTTGTTTTTTTAATGTGTGTGTGTGTATTGCCTGCATGTAGGTAAGTACACACATATCGTGCAGTGCCCACAGAGGACAGAAGAGGCTGTCAGATCCCCTGGGACTGGAATTACAGACAGTTGTTAGCTGCCATGTGGGTGCTGGGATTTGAACCTGGGTCTTCTGCAAGAACAACCAGTGTTCTTAAGTGCTGAGCCATCTCTTCAGCCCAAAAAGGGATAGATTTTGCAGTCATTGTTGAATGGGAACATCCTAGGTGTCCTTACACAGGAGTCAGCAGCCCCCTGGTGATCCAACATGCCTTGGTTAGGAGGCAGAGAGGGAAAAGGTTGGGGTCTGGCTGAAGAATTTGCTATTTTGTAGAAGTCCTCTTGCTGAACCACAGGTGGGTCAGCTATTCAAATGTCAGTTTTAGCACCAGGCATGGTGGCACATACCTTTGGTTCCAGCAGAGGCAGGCAGATCTCTATGAGATTGAGGTCAGCCTGGTATACATAGTGAGATCAAGGCCAGCTGGGGCTACAGGAATACTTTGTCTCAAAAAGATTACCCCCCCTCAAAAAAATTGGTTTAAAATATTTAAAGAGGTATCCACTGAAGCATGAACTATGACGGGTATTTGCATAGATTCTTCAGCAATGAGAAAGAAAATATAACACAGAGGAAGTGTGACAGTAGCTTGATGACAAATTAGTGTAGCTCATGGAAATAGATTATTTTCTTGTTATATGCTTAAAGTATTTTTTAGTTGAATAGGGAACTGTAAGCATGATACAAATGACTTAACATTTCTCTGTATATATTCATGAAGGGCCAGGCCCTTTCATGGAATATAGGTCTCCTAGAACAACAAGGTTGTCAAGTCCAGCTTCCTTTTCAGTTCTTTACTAAAAAGACTGAATGGGAATTTAGAAACTCTTGAGCTACAAGAGTACCAAATTTCTCTTCATAACTTTTCCAAACCTTTAAGCAGTCTCCCCTTCAACTCGTGTAGCAGGGCCAGCTGCCCTTGTAGCCACCCTTCTTTCTACTGTGCATCTTCTTGCCTCTACCACGTCCCCAGCCATCTGCTTTGCTTACTGCCCTCACTGAGTCTAGGAGCCTCCTCAGTCTCCCACCAAAAGCACTCCCTGTCCCAGACCTCTTAATTTCAGTACCATGTTTTGTCATCACATCTGTCACTGCAGCATATATGTTTATTTTTTGGTTTTTGATCTCTCCTGTGTAACATAAGTCCCACAAGGGTAAGAATCGTTCCCCTTCAGTAGGGCATTCCTAGTTGCCAGAACAGTGCCTGGCACAAAGGAGCCCAGGAAGTGAATAAATTGATTAGTTCTTGAAAAAAGTCATCTCAGGTCTCTTCTGGCCATTGCATCCTCTGTCTTTATTAACTCATAATTCTGTTTTTGTCTTATCCTCTTCAAAGTCCAGGAAGTATTTGAGGAAGGGAAACTTGGCATTATTATTATTATTATTATTATTAGTTTGGTCTTTTTGAGACAGGGTCTCCCTTTAGCCCCAGCTGTCCTGGAACTGACTATGTAGACCAGGCTGGCCTTGAACTCACAGAGATCTGCCTGCCTCTGCCTCCCAAGTGCTGGGATTAAAGGCGTGTGCCACCACGCCCAGCCCTTTTTTTTTTAATTAATTAATTTTAATTTTATGCATGTGAGTGTTTGGCATGCATGAATGTAAATGCACCCATGTCATGCAATGCCTGGAGAGGCCAGGAAAGGGTGTTGGATCCCCTGGAACTGGAGTTACAGACTGTTGTTGCCACTACAGGTCTCCTAGAATTGTTGCCTCCCTAACAGTGTTTCTGGGAGCCAGAGAATCTTGCCTTCTTAGAAGTCTTTATTGTTTTAACCCCCCCCCCACCATGGTAGATGCCTCAGGGTTGCAATCAGACACAAAGCCTAGGAAGTGGTTTAGATATTTCCCTTGAAATACCACTGAGCTCAGTTGTCATATGAAGCAACTCCTTTCCTTATCCATATTTTCCCCTGCTCATACCTTAAGAGGAGAACATAACTTCTAATTCCAGGTTTTTAGAATTAGAAACTTACTATTCATAGCCAGCTTCTGGTCAAGCCATTTTTGTGAGGCTCAGTCCAAGCTCTTACAAGCCTCTAAATACAATATGGGAAATTTACTCAGCTGGCTGCCAATCCACATTTCTTAGGAGAAAGAAAATCATCTTGCTCCTTTTTTTGAAGAAAAATATTTGGTAATCTGGTAAAAATCCTGTCACCTAGAATTGCTGTGCTATTTGAAAGGAATGTGAAAGTGCCATATGAAAAGAGTTAGCTTTTGAATCTTCAAGCTTTGGGCAGGAAATAAGGCTCCTGCTTCAGGTAGGTCATGTTTGAGACAGTGCAGAGAATGCAGAGTGAGTGGGGAATATGCAGAGTGGGCATCACAGAGCCTCTTTGAGAGCTTCTGCTCTGGTTACTCTGTAAAAGGAAACACCTCCTCATCCCTTTTCCCATTGTGTTCCTTGGCTAATACAAACACACATTTTTGCAAGGGAGGGGTGGTGAATCTAGACAAAGTCTAACGTAGTCCAAGCTAGCCTTGGACTTGCTATGTAGCCAAGGAAGACCTTGAATTCCTAATCTTTCTGCCTCCACCTGAGTATGGGCATTACAGATGTGTGCTGCTATACTTTTATGTAGTGCTCAGATCAAACCCAAGGCTTCATGCATGCTGAGCAAGTTCTCTACTAATTGAGCTATATCCCCAGACCCTAATCCATTCTATCCGGTGTGTGTGTGTGTGTGTCTGTTTCTGAATGTTTTGGGTTTTGGGGGGATGGGCAGGGGCTACCATATTCTTGAAGGAGGTAATAAGGGTGAAAATCACCCACATGGTCTCTCCAAAGATATACAGATAGGCAATAACCACACGAGAGTATTCTCAGCATTACAATTCTTAAAGAAATGCTGGATGAATTTATAATGAGATGCTACTTCATACTGACAAGGATTACTACTCAAAAAGATGGACAGGTGCTGATAAGGTTATGGAGAACAATGGGAATGCCATTCATTGCTGGTGAGAATTAAAACAATGTAACCATTTTGGAAGACAGTTTGGTAGTTTCTCAAAACAGTTACCATATGATCCAGCAGTTCCACTCCTAGACACATACTCAAGAGAAATAATATATTTCTATATAAATGTGCATAGCAGATATTCACCCATAAAGCATTGAATACTGATGTGTGGTACAATATGAATGAAGCTTAAAAGCATTTGACTAAGTTAAAGAAGCCAGATGTAAAGGCTGCAGATTCCATTTATATGTAATATATAGAATGGGCAAATCTATAGAGGATTCGAAGAAATTGGAACCCTCATTTATTGTCAGTGGGATTATAAGGTGGCTCAGTCACTAGGAAAACAGTTTGAAAGTTCATCAGACTTTGTTTATAGTATTACCATATAAGAGAGCAATTAGTTGCCAGTATGCTTATTGAAAAGAAACAAAAACATATTGGGACCAGTGAAATGGCTCAGCAGGTTAAGGTGCTTGCCGCAAAGCCTGAGGGCCTGAGTTCAATTCCTAGATTCCCACATGGGAGAAGAGAACCAACTCACACAAGTTGTCCTCTCATTTCACATGTGCACTATGTTATGTGTTCACCCAAAGATCCCTACACACACAAAAATACGTAAATTACATATATATATATATATATATAAAAAAAAATTCAGATAAAAATTTATAACAGCTTCATTTGTAACAGGCAAAAATCCAGTAGCAAAAGAATACTACTCAGCAATAAAACAAGTGAACCTCCAAACCTCATGCTAAGTGGAAACCAGAACCAAAAACTGCTTATAATATGATTCTATTTAGATGAATTTTCTAGAAAAGAAAACTGGATCAAAAGCCCATCACCTCACAGTAGTTGCCTGAGCTCACTTGGCAGTGGTGGGGACTGAGGATAGACCATCCCAAGGGATTATTTCATGGTGATGGAAAATACTCTAAAACTGGATTGTGGTGGTTGTTTATACAAATGTTTAAATTTACTAAGACTTTGTTGAATTGGGTAGGTTTTATGGTATGTAAATGATACCTCAAAAATAAGTTTTTGAAAAATCAGCAATCAGTCTCAGACTCTGGGTACATTTGGATCTTTTAAAAAATATATATATGGGCTGGAGAGATAGCTCAGTGGTTAAGAGCACTGATTGCTCTTGCAGAGGACCCGGTTCGATTCCCAGCACCCACATGGTGGTTAACAACCATCTGTAGCTCCAGTTCCAGGGTATCTGTGCCCTCTTCTGAACTTCGTGGGTATTGCACAACATAAGTGCACTTATACACATGCAGGCAATACACTCATACACATTAAAAAAAAAAAAAAAAAAAAAAAACCCAGCTGGGCATGGTGCCGCATGCCTTTAATCCCAGCACTTGGGGGGCAGAGGCGGGTGGATTTCTGTGAGTTCAAGGCCAGCCTGGTCTACATAGTGAGTTCCAGGACAGCTGTGGCTACAGGGAGACCCTGTCTCAAAAAGACCAAAAAAAAAAAAAACCTATAAAAAAATAACTCTCCCCATCATAGACTCATCCTCCCACTGATGTGAGCTTCAACTTTGATGCCAACAGACAACAGAGGCAGCTCATTGCAGAACTGGAAAACAAGAACAGGTAAGAATGCAGAGCTTGGGCCCAGTTCTCCCAGCCAGAATCTTGTGAGTGGTCCTCATCTTCTCACAGACTACATGGCTTGTTTATTTGTTCTTTTTGTTTTTTTGAGATGGTCTCTTGTAGCTAACGGCTGACCTCGACTCACTGTATGGCAGAGGCTGCCTTTAATCTCTTGATCCCTCTTGTTAGTACCCCTTAGGTGCTTAGATTATAGACATGTACCAACACACCCAGTTCTAGATGACTCGAGCGCATAGGAAGATCCACCTCAAATAGTGAAAGTAGCCCAAATCCAGGAGATACCCTACATGCTATAGGTTCCCATTGTCCTAGGCCATGTCCTGCTGCCTCTGGAGACTCTTGAGTATATACTCACTCCAACTCCTAGCCACCCCCACCAGTGTGTCCCTCTCACAGTTCCTTGTTCCACTCTCCTTCCCAGCAATATTTTGCTCTTATCAGCTCATTGTGACCTACACTACATGTAACTGGTCCCATTTTTTTAAGCCATTTAAAATGTCATTTAGCCAGGCGTAGTGGCACAAGCCTTTAATCCCACCACAAGCCTTTAATCCCAGCAACCCAAGCCTTTAATCACAGGCAGATCTCTCTGTGAGTTCAAGGCCAGCCTGGTCTGCATAGTGAGTTCCAGGACAGCTGGGGCTAAAGGGAGACCCTGTCTCAAAAAGACCAAAATAATAATAATAATAATAATAATAATAATAATTTAAAGGGTGTGACAACCAGACATACACCACTATGCACAGAATGGTGGAAACTAGACCGGGAGACTGGCCCTAGTTAGTATGCATAGGGAGGAAATGACAGCAACTGACTCTCAGACAGATGGTGCCAGGGGTCAAGGGAAAGGGAAGAATGGAGGAAGAACTGGGAAGTCAGCATAGGATAACACTGGGAGGTGACAAGTTCTTTTTTCCCAGAAGGTACAGAGAGGTTAAAAACTAATGAAAAAGACCTCAGAGCCGTGAAATACTAACATTGCCCCTCTCCCTATCCTCAGAGAGATCCTGCAGGAGATCCAGCGTCTGCGTCTGGAGCATGAGCAGGCTTCCCAGCCTACTCCTGAGAAGGCCCAGCAGAACCCTAAACTGTTGGCAGAGCTGCGCTTACTAAGGTAAGTCCACATCTGTCTCCTCTAAATTGCAGCCTGCAGTGGGAATTTGGATCTCAGGAAACCAAACGAGTGAGATAGAGCCTGTTCCTTGCTAGAACTTAGCCTGTAAGAACAGACTGCCACAGAGTTCATTGACTACACTGAGATCTTCAGCCATCATTACAGAGCTGGCAAGAACTGGGCTCCAAAAAATCTAAGATAAGCAGTATTTATCTTCCTGAGGTTTTAAGAAAATTGTTATGGGGCTGGAGAGATGGCTCAGTGGTTAAGAGCACTAACTGCTCTGCAGAGGACCTGGGTTTCATTCCCAGAACCCACATGGTGCCTAATAACAGGCAGTAACTTCAGTTCTCCAGTTCCAGGGGAATCTTATGTCCTCTGCTGGCCTGTACAGGTATGGCACACATTTGGTACACTTACATACATGCAGACAAAACGCTCATACACATAAAAATAAATAAAAAGCCGGGTGTGGTGATGCACGCCTTTATTCCCAGCACTCAGGAGGCAGAGGCAGGCAGAGCTCTGTAAGTTCAAGGCTACCCTGGTCTACATAGTGAGTTCCAGGACAGCTGGGGTTACAGGGAGACCCTGTCTCAAAAAGACCAAAAATAAATAAATAAATTAATTAATTAATATTTTAATGAGCTGGGCATGGTGATGCATGCCTTTGATCCCAGCACTCTGATGGAGGCACATCTCTGAGATTGAGACTAGCCTGGTCCACATTGTGAGTTATAGGCTAGCTAGGGCTACAGGGAGACCCTATCTCAAAAAAAAAAAAAAAAAAAATAAAAAGACTATTGTAATTACCAGCACGGCAAAAAGAAATAGAAGAGGCTAGGTGTGATGGTACTTACCTTTAAACCCAGCACTCAGGAGGCAGAGGCAGAAGGATCTCTGTATTTGAGGTCACTTGGTCTACATAGTGAGATCCAGGCCAGCCAGAGCTACACAGTAAGATCCTATCTCAAAAGAAAAGAAACAATAAAACAAAAATAAAAAAACATGTTACAGTTCCTCCTCTTCTTTTGCTAAGTAGCCTGAGTTTAGGGGCTCTTCCTTCTTAGTGTACCCTCTTGGTACTTCAGGCAGTAAGCTACCCTAGGGAAGCTTCCTGGGTACCAGTTCTGAGACAGAAAAACAAGGGTCAGTTACTTGTACCTTGGCCATTGTCTCATCCCACCTCTCCTTAAATGTACAGTGTCTCAAGGATTGAAACAGTAAGGCTATCGGGGCAGCACAGGAAGAGAGAAAGCAGAGTTGGCTCACTGTTTGTGCTTCTTGAGAGGAGACAGGGAAGTCTTTCTTGAAGAACTCGGCATGAGAATGACCAGATCTGTGATGAATCTTATTCCTGTCTACCATAGAAACAAGACATATTCCTCTGTATGTGAAGATATCATGGAAACCATATTTGATGCCTTGGTTGTTGCCAGAGCTCTAGATTCCTAAATAGTGTGTCTTTCTATTTGGAATTCCACATTTGATGTTTGATTGGGGTGGGTGCTGTTTTCTTTTTTAAACAGGGTCTTACTTTGTAGCCCAAACTGTCCTAGAACTCACTGTGTAGCTCTTTGTAGTCCAGTTTGGTTTTGAGTGTGTGGCCTCCCACTCACTGTGTATTTCACCCTCCCAAGGCCTGGGATTACAGGCCTGACCACCAGGCCCACTCAGAGTGAATTTTTAAGGTGCTTGCACCTGGGATCCTGCATCACTACATAGCCTTTTGTTTGTTTGTTTGTTTAACTTTTGAAAGAGACTTTATTGAGAATTTTGTACATGCTGTTGCCTGAGTTCTCTTAGGGTCCCTTGCTCCCTGTGCTATATAACACATCTTTATCTGAATTTTTCATAGTTTGTATTCTGTGTAGGGGAAATAGAGTAACTTACAAAGGCGAACACCCAGCACCCCGTTCCACTCTATGGCTCAGCGGGCCTCCGTTCCAGATCGCTTCTATACCCCACCCACAGTCTCCATTAGTTTTCACCCATACCTCATGGGCCTGCAGTCTCACCCCAGGTCAGTAAATACTCCCTCTCACATCCACACGGGCAAGACACCAGGGACATTTTTTTTCTTGCGCCGCTGCTTCTGTCCAAGATGTCCCCAACACTCCTCCCTCTGTGGCTAACCCTCCACAGCCAGTTCTCTGCAGCAGGCCTTGCCCCTCAGGGCAACACTCCACCCCTTCCTCTAGCTCTTAAAATCTTTCTGCCAATCTTCCACTAAGGTCCCTGAGCCTTGGAGGGGGTGACAGATGTAGGGCGATCTCTCTTGTATCATGGAAAGATAGTGACATCTTGGGCCTCCCCATTATTCTTTTATTATGCAGAGTGGCCGCGCCTCCACTCTGGGTTCTCTGCTTGTGTCCAAGGTCTGTAGCAGTTTTTCTAGCCTTTCTATAACCTTTAACAAATCTTCATATACCTGGAATTGGGCTGTTTCCCCACATTTACAACACAGCTGTGGCCCATGCTACTGCATGGCTGGCTCCTTTTTAGTTACATATTTTATAATCCATTGTAAGATCCACATCAACACCGCCATTAGCTCCCTTGCTTTTCTCAAACTCCCAGTTTGTCTTTTTCAGTGCCATCATCCTGCCAACTATGCCAGTTTGTTGCCCAAGTTCTCTTAGGGTCCCTTGCTCCTGGCACTATTAGACAAACCATATTTCACATCTTTATCTGAATTTTTCATAGTTTATATCCTGGGTAGGGGAAATAGAGTAACTTACAAAGGCAAACACCCAGCACCCCATTCCACTCTGTGGCTCATCAGCCCACCATTCCAGATCGCTTCCACACCCTACCCACAGTCTCCGTTAGCTTTCGCCCACACCTCATGGGCCCACAGCCTCGCCCCAGGTTGGTAAATACCCCCTCTCACATTCATGCAGGGGAGACACTAGAGCCTTTTTATTTTCCCACGCTGCTGCTTCTGTCCAAGATGCCCCAACTCTCCTCCCTTCAAGGCTAACTCTCTGCAGCCAATTCTCTGCAGCAGGCCCAACCCCTCAGAGGAAAAAGTACCCCTCAGAACACACATGCATATAAGGTGTTTTGATCAAATCCATGCTCACTCTCCCCTCCAACACCTCCCATATTTCCCCATTGCTTTTTTCTGACTTCGTTTACTCTCTCTCTTTCTTTCCTTCCTTCTTTCTTTCTTTCTTTCTTTCTTTCTTTCTTTCTTTCTTTCTTTCTTTCTTTCTTTCTTCTTTCAAATGGGGTGTTTTGCTACTCTAACATTACCCCTCTGAAGAGGTAACCATAAAATCTTTTAGGGATTAGGTAAGAGCTCCCAAATACTTTTGTCATTTTTGTCCTTTGGAGCAGAGTATGCTGCTAAGAGGCCCAAGGACATTTTGACTTTTAGCCAAGAAACTGGCTACTTTTCTTTGGAGTCTTTTTTACCCTAACTGCCTAGCCAATTCCTACCTCTTACTCTTTTCTCTTTTTGTGGTCTTAAATTTTGAGACAGGGTCTCCCTGTAGCCACAACTGTCCTAGAACTCACAGAGATCTGCCTGCCTCTGCCTCCAGAGTGCTGGGATTAAAGGTGTGCGCCACCACACCCAGTTTCTACCTCCTGTTCTTATCATACCATCCTCTGAAGAGGTTACCCAGCTTGTGGATAGGGAATCAGGGCTCAGACCACTCTGGCTTCTTCCATGCTGAACAGGGATGCAGGGTGAGGCAATTGGGGTACCCCTTCAGTGGGTCTGTCTAAAAGACTCCCAAATTGCATAACTCTTATCCATAGGGGGAAAAGAAAGTCTTTGACTGGTGAATAGGGAATGTGAAGGAGAAGTAAAGGCAAGAATAGTTAGCGTTACAAGTTCTAGGCAGAGAACCAGAAAAAAAGTCAGAATAGGACAGATTTCAAATGTTCATATCAGAGTCCATTGGGATTTGATGAGAGCTTCCAAAAATATCCCTGTATTGGGTTCCTCCTCAATTTTCTTTTGTCTGCCAAAGGTGGACTCAAGAGTGATGGACTCAGGATTTGCTTTCCGGCACTTTGATAGCTGTTGGAGTGGCTAGAATCAAAGTCAGTTGCCTCTCAAAGCCTTCTAGATAGGGGGAGAAAACAAATTTATCTATCGTTTTAGAACAATAGCATGTTGTCTCCCTTAGGCACTACAGTATTGCAGACCAAGATTTGAAGTCTTACATCTGAGCAGCACTCTCTGGTTAGGAACAAAATCATCAATGAGAAATAATTATCTAAATAACTTTTTATATGGACTTAAGCCTAATGTCTGGAAAGTGTAATCCCTTGATCTCTTAAAGAAATACACTGATGACTTTATTCTTTGGTTATATTTTCCTTTTGGGTGTTTAAAACCATACAGTTGTCCCAAATAAACCATAGCCTTTTTAAGGCTTTTATTTTTACTTAAATGTGTTCAAGCATTTTGCCTACATGTAAGTGCACCCATGTTGTGCAATGTCTGTAGAGGCCAGAAGAGAGTATCAGATCCCCTGGAATTAGAGTTTTGGACAGTTGTTAGCTGCCATGTGGATGCTGGGAACCAAACCTGGGTCCTCTGAAAGAACAGCCAGTGCTGTCAACCACTGAGCTATCGTTCTGGCCCCCCTCCCTCGTTTTAAGTGTTTTCTGTGGCCTAGGTCTTCAAATCTTAATCATGCTTTCTTTTGGTAGGGAATAGAGATTATTGGTTTTTCATTCATATTCTGTCATTTAGGTTTATATCATAAATAAGTGAACCATGAAGAATTTAACCTATGCAAATGAACACCATTAGCTAATACAAAGCAGCCCATTCTCCTAAAGCTTCACTTCAGGTTTGAATTTAATTGGGTTGAAGTTTTAATGGCTTCGTTTTTCACTGTTGTGCATTTGGGATAGTCGCATGGAAGGAGCTTTACTAAGGAAGAAGCAAGTGCAGGCTCCAGCTGAGGGTAACAGTGGACCATCTGCATAAGACACACCTGTTTTCTTTCCCTGACTCAGCTCAAGCACAAGTGACTGTTTTTATTTCTAGAGGAACAGAAACTGTCATTCTGGAATCTTACTGTTGCTGAAACTGAAGTTAGAATTGTTCACTGAAGGTGCAAGGATCTGGAAAGTATCAGAAATTTAGTTAGCACGGGGCCAAGTCCAGGGATGGATGGCACATAAACAAGAAGTGGGAGTTTAAGTTCCAGGAATTACTGCTTGAGGAAATCAAAAAGTAGCTCATTTCAAAAGCAGCATCTGTATCCTGATGAACATTTGATAACTGAGCTAGAACACTTGTCTGTGCATATAAACATATTGGCCCTCTACCTCACACAGTACAAAACTTACAGCAGATGGATTAAACAGAAAGAAAAAACTTGGTAAATTCTAAGGGAAAACATTTAAGAATTTCTTTAGATTTTTGGAATTTAAAATAATTGTTCAGAATTACTAACAATGAGAAAAGCTGATAAATTTGTCTACACTGATACTATGAACAGAAGGACTGGGGAGGAACCTCAGTTGTTATTACTTGCCTAGCCTATACAAAGTCCTACATTCAGTCTCCCCAAGCACCACATAAACCAGGTATTTTGGTACATGCCTATAATCCTAACCCTCAGGAGGTAGAGGCCAAAAGATCAGAAGTTCAAGGTCATCCTCAGCTATATAGAGTTTGAGGTCAGCATGGGATACAGGAGACTTGTTTCAAAACAAAAAACGTCCGTTTATCAAATGAAATATAAAAGGCAGGATTTATTTATTATGGGTTTTATGCCCTACTGGTTTTGACCAGTGCATCTTAGTTCAGGACCTGCCAGTCCCAGCTAATTGACGCAATCAAATTTTATATTTAATTTATTATTTTTATTTTATGTGTATAAGTGTTTTGCTTGCATGTATGTAAGTGTGCCGGTGTTGTGCAATTCCTGCAGAGGGAAGGAGGGTGTTGGTTCCCCTGGAACTGTAGTTAGAACAATTCACTGCCATGTGAGTGCTGGGGTCAGACCCATGTCCTTTGTAAGAGCTACCAGTGCTCTTAACCACTGAACATCTCTCCAGCCTCAAACAAGTTTTATTTCTGATGGGCTCTTTCTCTTGTACAGGCAAAGGAAAGATGAGCTGGAGCAGAGGATGTCAGCACTGCAGGAGAGCAGGCGGGAGTTGATGGTCCAGCTGGAGGGGCTAATGAAGCTACTGAAGGTAAAAGCCAAAAGTATCTGCTCTCCTCCCACTCATCTCCAACTTCATCTCTCACACAGCTGTAACATTGAAACCACATAGGCCTAAAGGCTTGACCAACAGGCCTAGAACCAGTTGCCTAGAACTAGTTTTTAGGTAAACCTCCGTAAATGTGGCCTAATTGGATATCAGTCACAATTAGCATAAAACCTTCAAAATCACTTAACATGTAAAGGTGCTTGCCCCCAAGCCTGACCACCTGAGTTCTATTTCCAGGATCCACATGGTGGAAGGAAAGAATTGTCTCCTACAAATAGTCCTCTAACTTCCACACGCACACCATGGCAGGAGTGAATCCACACATGCATGCGCACACACACAGAAAAAAAAATTTTTCTTTAATTTTGTGTGTATTGCCTGCATGTGTGTAAGTGCACCTGTGTCATGCATTGCCCACGGAGGTGAGAAGAAGGTGTCAGATTCCCCTGGAATTGGAGTTGCTGGACCATTTAGTTGCCATGTGGGTGCTGGGGATCAAACCCAGGTCCTCTGTAAGAGCAGTCAGTGCTCTTAACCGCTGAGCCATCTCTCCAGCCTCAATTAAAAGTAATTTTTAAAAAGTATCTAGAGGGGCTGGAGAGATGGTTCAGTGGTTAAGAACACTGACTATTCTTACAGAAGACCCAGGTTTGAATCCCAGCACCCACAAGGCAGCTAACAACTGTCAGTAACTCCAGTCCCAGGGGATCTGACAGCCTCTTCTGACCTCTGTGGGCATTACACGACATGGGTGCATTTACCTACATGCAGGCTATATACACATATACATAAAACAAAAATAATATTTTTTTAAAAAGTATCTAGAAATGGAGTAATGTTCTTGAGTAGTTGTTTTTCCCAATAAATAAGGATGTTTATAAATCAGGTATTAGTTATATATAAATGAAAAAATATTTCTCAACTATTTAGTTTCTTTTAAGACAAGTTTTCAAGTACTCCATCTACATATTTAACAAACATCAAGTGTCCTAGTCTAATAAGTAGTACAAAGGTAAACTGAATTAGGATGATCTCAGTGAAACTGAGCCAATAGGCCATCTATAGCTGAATAAGAGGATTTATTATGGGAACTGTCTTGCTTAATTATGGAGGCAGAGGAAAAGACACAGGAAAGCCCATGGTGGGATTCAGTGTGTCTGGAGGCCTGAGAACCTTGGGTGTTGATTGTGTCATCCCAGTCCAGAAGGTGGGTTGTGGAGAATGGTGTTGGACTGTTTCCCTAAGTACTGGAGTCCAAAGGGCCAAAGCCAGGGGAGTTTCAATGTCAAGGGAAGGAAGAAACGTACTTCCCCACCATAAAAGAGAACACACTTGTTTTTCTTGCCTTTTGGTTCTATCTTGTTCCTCCATGGCCTAGATGATGTCTTCCCACATAAGTGGAAACAGGTCTTCCGCCCTTGGCCTACTGATTCCAGTGCCACTCTCTTTGGAAACATTCTAAAGGACACACCCAGAACGTTTACCCAGTTCTGTGGATACTCCTTAACCCAGTCAAGCTGACACATAAAAGTAACCATCACATAAACCAACCTATTCCATCTGATTCTAAATAGTAAACTTCACTAAGTTAGGAAAAATTCAGCATATTATCTTGAAGTTTAATGTATAGGGGATGTCAATAAATCAGACTAATTCAGGTTTTTCTGTGTTTGTTGAATTTCTTTACATTTCTAGCTGTTGTCTTGGAATTTTCATGAAACAAGTAGGACCTCCTCATCGTCGTCTCCACCCCCCCGCCACACACCCCATTTTTTAGGATCCACTACTGAGTTTTTAAATGTCTTATCATTTACCTACCTGGAAAAGCATGTTTTTCTGTTACACAATACATTTCCCACTTCCCAACCCATGATAAAAGTACACTTCCCAAACTGGACATGATGGCGCCAGGCAGATCTCTGTTAGATGGAGGCCAGCCTGGTCTATATGGTGAGTTCCAGGCCAGCTGGAGCTACAGGAAGACCCTGTCTCAAAAAGACAAAAAAAAAAAGTACGTATCCCAATTTTAATTTCAAGGGACTGTCCTTTCATTGATGTTTGGTCTGTTGGTATTTAATTCACTCCTAAAAATATCCTTAAGCCATCAGTCAAATGAAGTCAAGCCTACATGGTTTGGGAGGTTCTTAAATTAAAATGCTTCATACAGAAATTTCCATTTCACAGGTCTTTCGTTCTAGTGCTTTAGGGAAATAGGTTGTACTTTATCTTTTTTGTGTTTTGTTTTTTTGTTTGTTTTTTTTTGAGACAGTGTCTTCCTATAGCACCAGCTGGCCTAGAACTCACTATGTAGACCAGGCTGGCCTTGCACTTAAAGAGATCCATCTGCTTCTGCCTCCTGAGTGCTGGGATTAAAAGTGTGCACCACCACGCCCAGCGTACTTTATCTTTTTATCAAAAACTTACAATTTAAATAAGTATACATAGGAAGTGACACCATTGTTTATTAATTCATAAACAAATATCTTCCATTTCTTGGAGTAAGGCAGAGTTAAAAACCGATATACTCACTTAACAAAAATATATTAAGTTCCAGGGGCTAGAGAAAAGATGACGTGGTGGTTAAGAGTATTTGCTGATTGATATTCCAACGAACCTGTGTTCAGTTCCCAGCACCCAAATAGAGTGGCTCACAACCATCTGTAACTTTAACCCCAGGGGATTCATCGGCCTCTTCTGGCTCTTGTGTGTACATTGACATATGTGATACACATATAGATGAGCAGGCATACACATGCACATAAATAAAAATAAATTTTGTTACATATACACACATACGAAGTTCCCAAGTATCATGCTATGTATTTGGTAAGTAGTGGCAACTAGACTCAATCCCTGTCACTAAGAAGTGTCAGGGTCTTATTTGTTTTTTCTTTTAATGATATATGGTCATCACTTAGATACCCATGTTTCTGTACGTTTTCTTTATATTTTTCCTTAATTAATCTCTGTCTTGAACTACTGATTTAGTCTAGAAATGATTGTGTTAGTATTTCAATTTCTAACTCTTGCTTCCAACATTTTTACTTCATTTTAAATTTTTTTGTTTTTTTGTTTTTGTTTTTGTTTTTGTTTTTTTGAGATAGGGTCTCCCTGTAGCCCCAGCTGGCCTGGAACTCACTATGTAGACCAGCCTGGCCTTGAACTCACAGAGATCCACCTGGCTCTTAATTTTTATAACATTGTTTTTGCATTGGCTTATAGCCCAGACTGGCCTAGAACTCACTTTGTAGCCCCAGGCTGGCCTTGAACACATAATCCTCTGCTTCAGCCTCCTGCATTTCAGGCATAAGCCACCACACCAAGATCAGAATATAAATCTTTGTGTAGATGACTATAGTAGCCATGCTCCACCATGTGGAAGAGACTCAAGTGTTTTTTAGGTAACATAAGCACTTCTAGATTTGCACTTGTAATTAAGGAGTTCTGGCCCTCCTTAAATCAGGTTGCTGCTATCTCTTGTCATCAGTCCATGTTTACTAACCACAGCTGATTGATAGAAAGTACACTTAGACCTTATATCTGACCTTTTTGATATATCTGACCTGTGTTGATAGAGCCTAAAAGGCTTTATGTGAATAAATTTTGAGAGTTTAAATTGCATAACACCAGCCTAGGGAACACTTTGCCAAAATCCACCCTCTCTCAACACCAGGAAACTAGGAGATATCCTCAGTCCTGAGAACACTGTCCTTCCCCAGCTCATCCTAACCTGACCCATGTGACCAATGCAGGTCATACTGATGTCACATGCTGGGCAGACTTAAAACTGTTCCTTGCAAAGTGAGTAAGGAACAGCCTTGAAGCATTGCTTTTGAAATGTCCCTGATTTATTTATTTAATTTATTTTACTTAATGTTAGCTCAAGACCAGCCTTGAACTTGAGGCAATCCTCCTCACTTAGCCTCCCCAAGACCTAAGAATACCAGCATGAACCACCACACCGGCTTCCATATTCTATTAAGCCAAAGTCATGTTATCTTCAGAACCAAACCTGGGGAAAACATTGACTCATAGAAACAGTTCTAAGTACATCCAGGTCTTTTGACCTCAGATAGGATTTCAGTCTGTGAGGATTACCCCAATCTGCCCAACTGTCTGTTTCCATTTCAGCAGGTAGTGCTGAATTGCATAATGCTTCTCCAGTGTCTGGTTCCTTTCAGTGAGTGTTGCCCCAGAGGAAATTGACCTGGGAGAGGAGTGTGCTTTCTAGCCACAGCCAAGCCCTCCACACTGCCTGTGTGAAGGGAAGCCTCTGATTTCTTCAGGTGACCCAGCCAGTGCTCAGAGCCTGGGCCCAGCTCCTTCAGGTTAGGTGGAGTCCCAATACTGGCAGGTGGTTTTCAGCATTAAAAAGCTCCTTCCAGAGCTGAATGGGGTCCTCAGGGATTTCTTGGTGTTTCTTGAATTTCTAGTCCAGGTCTGTCTCTCCCTTACAGCAATAAAAAGTATTTTCTCCAAGTTTTTCCTCTTTCCCTTTTGCAGTTTCTTTGCAGTACTAAATCACTCTGCTCTCACAAGGCCCAGGCCTGCAGATACTTTGAGAGTGGGAGCATATATCCATTCCTATGTCCCTCAACCCATGTATACCCATGGATCCAGCATAGGTAGAGCCATCACAGCCATGTAGATTTACATAATGGTCCACTGTGGAAGGTTCCCTGACCACAGTTACCCATGTTGAGACACAGAAAGAGGAAGCAAAGAGACCAGAAAGACAGAGTGACAAAGGAACACAAGGCCAAGAAGAAACTCAAAAGAGTTTATCTCTGCTTCTTTTGGCTTTTTTCTACAATGCCTGGGGGTACATTCATCTTTCTGTCAACTGCAGGGTCCTGCTCTACTCACCCTTGCTATAATTGCTATAAGGTTGGAAAAGACAGAACCCATCTTGCTTTCCAGTGCCTTATGCATGAGAATTGCCAGATAAACCTGTACTGAATTAATGAAGAACTGAAAGTGAGAATTTCACTTTTGTTTTAAAGACAAGGCCTTGTCATACAGCTCAGGCTGTCTAAGAATGCAGTGTTCTTTGGCCTCTGCCTCTTCAGAGCTGGGCTTATAAGCATAAACCACCATACCCGGCTCTAGAATTCTTTTTTTCTTTTGGGGTTTGTGATTTTTTAATTTTTTTTTTAGACAGGGTCTCATGTATCCCAAGCTGGCCTCAAACTCCCTATGTAGCCAAAGATGGCCTTAAACATCTGATCTTCCTGCCTCCATCTCTTTAATATTGGAATTACAGACATGAGCCACCATGTTTATGCAGTGCTGGGGATTGAACCAAGGGCTCCAAACCTGCTAGGAGGCAAATACTAATTCACTGGAGGGAATAGGCAGGTATGTGCATCCCTAAAGAAAACAAGGCAGCTAGGTGTAGTGGTGCAGGTCTTTAATCCCAGCACTCCATAGGTGGAGGCAGAGGCAGAGGCAGAGGCAGGCGGGTCTTCAGTCCAGGCCAGTCTGGTCCACAATAGCAAGTTCCTGGCCATCTAGGGCTAAAGGGAAATCCTGTCTCAAACTATCCAACTACCCCCCCCCCCAAAAAAAAAGAAAGACAACAAAGCAGCATGAAAGCAAGTAGAAAGGCAGTTTCAACAGGGTTAATGGAGAGAGAAAACTGGAAAAGAAGAAAAGAACTGTGGTTAGATGGAACAGTTAGGAGGCTAAAGCAGTGGTTCTCAAATAGAACTAAAAGGCTCTTGGAACACATTTTAGGCAACCCTTCCCCCAGCTCTGAGTCTTAGGCTGGACCCAAAATTTTCATCTCTGAGAAGTTCCCAGGTATTACTGATAGTGTTGGGCCACATTCCACACCTTGGGAACTGGCCTATAACCTGAACACAAGTGAGTATTATGAATGGCGAGCTGGAATGATAATTACAATTTTTTTTTTCGGTCTTTTTGCAACAGGGTCTCCCCAGCTGTCCTGGAACTCACTATGTAGACCAGGCTGGCCTTGAACTCACAGAGATCCACCTACCTCTGCCTCCCAAGTGCTGGGATTAAAGGCATGCACCACCACACCTTTTAGTTACAATTTTTTAAACTTTTATTTATGGGGCTGGAGAGATGGCTCAGCAGTTAAGAGCATTAACTGCTCTTGCAGAGGACCCAGGTTCGATTCCTAGCACCCACATGGCAATATATTTTTAAAATTTTGTTATTTTTATTTTATGTGTATGAGAGTATTGCCTGCATGTGTGTGAGTGCACCAGTGTCATACATTGCCTGAGGAGGTCAAAAGAGGGTGTCAGATCCGCTGGAACTGGAGTCAGAGATGGTTGTTAGCCGCCAGGTGGGTGCTAGGAATCGAACCCCGTCCTCTATAAGAACAGACAGTGCTCTTAACTGCTGAACCATCTCTCCAGTCCCGATAATTACAATTTTAAGTCAAGGTTGAACTTCCTCTTTCAGAGTACCCTAAATAGTGACCTCAGGCTAGCCATGCTCTCTAGGCTTCTTCAATTTGTAAATGAAGTTGAACTAGATGGTTTTTAAGGTTCTTCAGAAGTCATCCATGCATTCATTAACTGGTTGTGGCAGAGGCCTGCCATTTGCTGTGTCCCATTGGTGCTCTTCACCAGGTCTTTGCTCTCTAGGCATGGGCCTAGCCTGGGCCTAGCCTAGCTTGCCCAGTTTCTTCTATCATTTCTTCCCAATGTCTGTGGTGATGGACATTAATTTCTCTCCTTTTCTCCTCTGCCTTTTTTCATCTTCAACACCTCTAGGAGGAAGAGCAAAAGCAGGCAGTAAGTGGACTTCAGAACTCTCTGGATGCTCACTCCTTTTGCATGCTCTTCTGTGCCCCCCTTTTTAAAAATATTTTATTTATTATTTTTATTTTATGTGTAGAAGTGTATTGCCTGCATGTATGTGAGTGCACCTGTGTTGTGCAATGCCGTGGAAGTCAGAAGAGGGCTTCGGATTCCCCGAGAACTGGAGTTAAGGACAGTTCGTAGCTGCCAATTGGGTGCTGGAAATCGAACCCAGGTCCTCTGTAAGAGCAGTCAGTGCTCTTAACCACTGAGCCATCTCTGCAGCCCCATCTTCTGTCCCTTATATAAATGTTACATACCTTTCCTTCTCCCTGCATCACCTGATCTCTGAGGACTTGGATTTCCCTCTGTATAGTTATAAAATGGCCTGGAAGTCTGGGTCATGTTTACTTAGGGGAGCATGTTCTGACTTGAAACCAGAGCCTGTTTAATTTGTGCTTATTTAAATATGCATGATTAGCCAGGCTGCCATTGCATTTTCCTGCTCTTTTGTTTTCTGCTGGTCTTTTTGTCTGGAGTGACCTTAACTGCTTGAAATAACTTTCCAGGTGGTAGGGGTGACTAAGGTCCAAATACTATGACCTCAATGAATGTGCATGAAAATGAGTTCTTTGGAACTTGAATAGGCTCTGGCTCTACCAGCCTTAACAAAATTAGTGATGACAGCAAAGAGACTGGCTGGTTTTAATGTGTTTTCCTCTTCTGAGCCTTCAGGGGCTTGGGGAAGCAAGAGACCCAAATTGCATGCCTATTTGCTGCATGATGTTTGGAGAAGGTTGATATTTGTTTTTATTTTTCTTGATAGCAGTTAGCTCACACAAGAAAATCAGTTGAGGGCCTGTCCACAAAAGTGACTTGAGGTAGACTAAATTCAAGAGAGAAATATAAAATGTTTAATTCAAAAGAGAAATATATAATGTTCAATTTAAAAATTACCCATTTGGGCTAGAAAGATGTCTCAGCCATTAAGAGCATGTACTACTCTTCCAGACAACCTGAGTTCAATTCTCAGCAATCCCATTAGGCAGCCATTGGCTTCCACAGGCACCTGGACTCATGTGCACATGCCCGCACAGACATACACATAATTAAAGATATATCTTTTAAAACTATTCCTTATTTGCAGAAACATGGATTTGTTCATATTTTAGATTCTAAAATAAGAATGTAAACATTGTATTATTTCCAACTAGGGATCAGAGTATAGGAGAGAGGTAATGTTTTGTCACACTGTTCCTAGGGAGACATGAGCAAATATCTACTCACCCCAGCTAGGGAATCAATGGCAGACCAAAATAAGGATACTACTACTACTGAAGTCCAACTTGGTGAACCACTGAATTTTACTGGAGTTACTTAAAGAAGTATGAATCAGGGGTTACAGGAGCAGAAATGACTCAAAGATAGCAGCATAACCAAGCTATCTCAAGACATCCTAAGTCTTAATGAGCTTCTCTTCAAGATGGAAGGTTTGTTGTTTTTGGTTTTTTTTAAATATTATTTAGCTGGGCGTGGTGGCTCATGCCTTTAATCCCAGCACTTGGGAGGCAGAGGCAGGCGGATCTCTGTGAGTTCAAGGATAGCCTGGTCTACATAGTAAGTTCTAGGACAGCTGGGGCTACAGGAAGACCCGGGGAGTGTATTCCCTGCTTGTAAGTGCACCCATGTCATATATTGCCTACAGAGAGCAGAGGTCAGAAGAAGGAGTCAGAGTCCCTGGAACTGGAAGTTATGGATGGTTGTTATCTGCTGGATATCAAACCAAGTCCTCTGCCAGAGGAGCTAGTGCTCTTAACCACTGAGCCATCTCTCCAGCCCCTTGTTTTTGTTTTTTATCTCTGAGAAAATTGCAATATAACAGGAAAGGAAAGGAAGAGCTTGGTAGTGAGGGGAAGAAGCAAGAAAGAACAGAGTTAAGATCCCTTAAGAACCCAGAAATCCCATGGGCAAAAGTTTGTTTGGTTTTGTTCTTGGTTTAGATTGGCTGTTTCCCTTATTCACACAGTTTTTAATCTGTCTCTTGAATGGAGTGGCACTTCTGCATCAACAGCTATATTTACCTGAGCTAAGCAGGAGAATGGCAAATCAAACCCAGCTTTAAATGCTTCTACCAGAAAGGGATAGCTCATCACTTCTATCCCTTTCATTGGTTGAAGCAAAGCATATGACCACACTTAACTTGAAAAGGTTGGCGAAGTCTAACTTTGCAGCTTGCTTAGAAGTCACAGGGGATGCTCTTGATGCCACCTCATACAAGTAGGAGTGAGTGACTGAGTTAAAGGGCAAAGGAAGGGGTTGTTAGTCCTCCCTGCTCCTCCTGACCCAAATGCCATTTCACCAACCACCAGCATGGCATTCTTTCTTGTTATCCCTGAACCCTGAGGTGTACTGCACAGCTGACTGTATTTTGTGGGAATTCACTTCCAACAGTCTCCCTGGCTAGCATCTTCTGAACTCTGAATTTGCAATCACAAAGGGATGCACAAATTGAAAACAGCCCCTGCCCTACCTGAGAAGGGGACAGATGACATGGATATTCATTTTAAGAGCAACAGCAGAGGGGCTGGAGAGACAGCTTAGAGGTTAAGAGCATGGGCTGTTCTTGCAGAGGATCTGGTTTGGTTCCCATAACCCACATGGTGGCTCACAGCCATCCATAACTTCAGTTCCAGGGGATCTGATGCCCTCTCTGGCCTCTTTGAGCATTGCACACAAGGGTACACTTACACACATGCAGGCAAAATACTAATACACATAAAATAGAAATTTTAAAAAGTTTTTTAAAGTTAAAAAAATTAGGAAGGGCTGGGCGTGGTGGCACATGCCTTTAATACCAGCACTCAGGAGGCAGAGGCAGATGGATCTCTGTGAGTTCAAGGCCAGCCTGGTCTACATAGTAAGTTCCAGGACAGCTGGGGCTACAAGGAAACCCTGTCTCAAAAACACCAAAAAAAAAAGAAAAAGAAAAAATTAGGAAGGGTGCAAATATGGGAGGAGACCTAAATATGATCAAAATATTCAATTTAAAGGGGGGAAGGAGTAAGAGCGCCAGTAGTTTCCTGTGAACATTGTGGGGTTTTTTTCTTTAAATTTTACAAAATAGCATGTAATGCAGGAAATAGGAATTGCCAGCACTATGAGGCCAATGTAATCTTAATCATGCCAGGCCTGGAGTCCCATACCTGTCATCCTATCACTTGGGAGGTAGAGGCAGAAGGATCCAGAGTTCAAGGTCATCCTCAGCTACACAGCAAATTAAAGGCCAGTCTGGGATACATGAGACCCTATCTCACAAAAAATAAGTAACACTAACCAAGAGCTGACAGGATTCAATCATACCATATTTTTTCAATAACCTTTTGTTCTGTGTGCAATCATCATCTTTTGAGATTGGCAAAATGTGAAACTAGCCTGCTGAAGCTGGCCACTTATGAGCCTCTTGTTTGTGTACTGGGACTTTTCCATGGCCAGTGTCCTAAACACATATCCTGGTCTTCGCTGCCTGGTAGGATTGTCTGTAGCATGAGTGCGTACAGACTGTTTTGTCCTCTACATATTTCCCACTCCCGCTCCCCTGCCCATGGCATAAGGCAAGAGGTCTCACTATGCTGATCTAGCTGGGGAAATACTTCTGTCCACCTCACAGGCTCACACTGGATTCACTCAAGGCCCAGCTCTGGGGCTGCAATTTGGTCTGAATTATTTAATGTAACTTAGAGTCATTTTTCATTTGTACAGCTGAAAAAACTAAATATCTAGAGCCTGATCTCCTGTATCCCATATCATTGCTAAGAGACAATAAAGCACCTTTTAAATGAAGAATCGCTAGACATGCTTCTCATATGGCTCTATAAATCCATTGTAGAGAACTTTTCATATATCTGCCTTCTTGTTTCTTCCCTTTACAGGGGTTTATTATTAACTACCATTAAGATAACATTCACAGAGTACTTTAGACATTAAAGTGTGGAGCTTTCACACCAAACAATTCTCTAGTTCACTGTAGACACCAACTTCCATTGTTGTTTTGCAATCGGTTATGACATTTTGAGGACTTAATTCCAAACCCCACATGCTAATGACTCATCTCACAGGACTGACCCTCACCTAAGATACCAGTTGTAAGTGGTGAGTCCCTGGGTTGCCCATACTTTTGTCTGATTTGACTGCAGATCATTTCCTCTTCCTGTAGTTTGATTATTTGAGATAATGGCTTGTGGAACTTAGGGTACCCCTTACTTGCTATTACCAGTTTATAATGATGGCAGTTATGAAGGCTGCAATGAACAGCTGGATAAAGAGGTACATAAGCCAAGATCCTGAGAGCCCCTAACCTACTACAGGAGTTCTTTCCCTGAGGCATTGGGAGCACTATCTCCTGGCATGTGGATATGTTTATTAGCCCCTTTTTTCAGGGTGTTTATGTAGGTTCTGTTTTATAGGCATAATTGATTTAGTCATTGGCCATTGGTAATTAACTCCCATCTCCAGGCCTGCTTACCTCCTCAGAGGTCCAACAGGAGCTGCAAGTTTCAGCACTCTAATCATACCTCGAGCTTTCTAACAATCAGCGGTCTTCCTGAAGCCACCTTTAGCAAATAGACACTCTTTATTATCCTATGGTTCTAAGAGTTTTAAAAGCTATTGAGCCTGAACCTGGGATAGAAGACAAATGCATATTATATCACAGTATCATAAAATTATTTTGCCTTTGCAGGGACTTGAGAATAATGAATAGTAACTATTACCTTGAAAGTGTTGATGCTGGAGTTGGGGGTGTACCGCAGTGGTACAGCCATCCTTAACATATTTGAGGCCCTGAGTTCCTAATCATAAAAATTAAATAAATAAATAAATAAATAAATAAATAAGGCCAGCAAGGTGACTCATGGGGGTTAAAGGCACCTGCCACCAAGTCTGATAACCTAAAATTCAATTCCCAGGCCCCAGTGATAGGAGAAATGACCATGCAC